AACTAACTAACTAACTAACCTAACCGTAACCTAACCTACCTACCTACGTACGTACGTACGTACGACGTAACGTAACGTAACTAACTACTACTACTACTACTACTACTACTCTCTCTCTCTCTCTCTCTCTCTCTCTCTCTCTCTCTCTCTCTCTCTCTCTCTCTCTCAAACATACACTCACTCACACATGCACACACGCTCACACAGACACGAGCTCTCTCTCTCACACACACACGCACACGCACACATGCTCACACAGACACGAGCGCACGCACCATACACACACATGCAGATGCACACACAATAGTAGAAAAACCAGAGGCACACATGCATGCAAACCCACGACCCCTCACACACGCACCCACATACACGGACATAACCCCTATGCTTGCGAGTTCCTCATTATAATTTTCTGGATTCCTTGTCGATAGTATATGAATATTATGTGCATCAGATTCTGGCATTTTTTGTGCAGCAATACACCCATGTTGCATTCACTAGCATTTTGATTTCTCAATCAATCATGCTCCTCATCCATATCGCGTTGAATCTTGTTCTATTAAGGCTGAAAGAATCCAACACCGTACCTGTCTCACATTGACACATGTACTAATACCCTTGCAACATTTTTATTCATTGGGAGCCACCAGTGTGAGCCACCAGTGAGAGTGAGAGCCACCAGATCTGCAAGAGCCATACTGCGAGAGTCACCAGATCTGCGACGAGAGGAGCCACCAAGATCTGCGAGAGCCATTCCTGTGAGCCACCAGCAAGTGACTCCAGATCTGCGAGGGCCACTGCGAAAGCCACCAGATCTGCGAGGAGCGAGCACCTCTCCACTCAGGGCTCCAGAGATGCTGCTTTCTGAAGCATGTATGTTTTGATGGCTTCCCCACCCCCTTCTGGTGTGCCTCTCCCTTTGGAAAGAAAACCTCCTGATCTTCAAGAGCTTCTTTCTCGTTTATGCAGAAGTAGTACTGCTTTTTGTTTTGGTGGTGCTGATCCCCTTAAGGATAGAACCAAATCTGCTCGTATTTCTATTGGTGGCCGTCATCTCGGTAGTGATGGGGATGGATCTGGTCATGATCCTATCGTTTCTGATCCAAGATACATCAGCAGAGATGGATCTGGGTCTATAGTCTCTGATGTTTCAGCTTTGAAGCTAGATTCTCGTGCTGCCTATCATGTGGTTTCTGGGTCTGGTTTTGGGAAGATGCCTGCAAAGAATAACAATTCAAAGGAGTATAATGGTGCTGCCTTTCGTGTGGTAGCTGATGATAGTATTGTGAAAGTTAATGTTATGGGTCACAATCTTTGGTCTACAGAAGAGGATTGTGAAGCTGCCCACTTTGGGGAAGGTTTGGGTGTTCGTAGTTCTGCCACTTACGATGATTTCTTCAAGATTCTGGCTTTTAAAATCCTTGTATGGGTCCTGCCTCGAGATCTACTGTTGTTGTTCTTTATGGGGTCATTAAGAGTCCTGTAAGGGAGGCCACTCCTCTCTTGATGGGTGTTTCTAGCAAAGGCAAGGAGGTGTTGCTACTCCTTGGAAAAAAAATTTGGGTAGTAAGAGCGACCTAGGATCTACCTCTGGTCTTCATGGTGAAGGTGTCGTACGAGAGGAGTTTCCATCCTTGGTTCCAAAGAACAAGAACGATAATTTAGCTAACTGCTGTTGGGGCTCGGGTAGGTCCTCAGACCTATTATTCGGTGCCAAGGGTGTCCAAAATGGAGTGTTTTACTTTGAGGAGATGGATACTTCACCTACTGAAATTATTAATGGTAAAAAATTTGTCAAAATTGACAAGAAGGTGATGGATTCATGTAGGAGCCAGTGGGAAAACTGTATATTGGGATACTTCTTGGGCCACCGACCTGATTGGAACTACATGAAAGAGATGTTGAAGAAGATGTGGAGGCTTGAGCGGGATGTTGAAGTATTCTCTGCTAATGGGAGCTTCTTGATTTTTCGTTTCCATTCTAGTAAGGAGATGGAAGTTGCCCATACGGGGGGACCTTGGTTTATCAACAAAAAATGTTTGGTACTTCAAGAATGGGATCCTTCAGTTCAACCCTCTAAGCATGCTCGCCATACTATGCCAGTTTGGATCAAATTGCCAAGGTTACCATTGGTATATTGGGAAACATAAATTCTTTTCTGTATTGCCTCCAGTGTTGGAAAACCCATCTTCATGGACAAACCGACAAAACTAAGATCAAGGGCTGAGCCAACGGTGTGTGTTGCATTGGATCTAGATACCATTTTTTCGACTATATATATATATGAAGTTTGGCTGGACTTTTTTGGGAAGAAGTATAGGCACGAAATAGTCTATGAGTTCATACCCTCGATCTATTCCAAGTGTCAGAGGGCAGGCCACAAGTCTGAATTATGTCGAGCAGGCTTAAGTGCAAAGGTTCCATCAAGGCCAGTGCAACAATTGTTCCCAATGGTGATACTATTGTTAAATTACCCTCAGAGGAAGAA